AAGATTTCTAGAAAAAAATGGTAAACACCCCACCTCCTCCTATAAACACCTATTATTTATATGCATTCGCTACATTTACTTTATGTGTTGCTGGGTATGGGTTTATCGTATTTTTTTAAGAAAAAGAAGATTCGTTTAAAGGAAAATTAAAATATGAAAAAATACAATAGTTGTATGAAACATCCTAATAACAAAAACAATAAAATAAATAATTTTTAATATAATAAGCTTAAAAAAGTCAAAGAAATATGAAATTATGGCCTTTTAAATAAAACTAATAAAGCAATTCTGTAGAATAGCTTATTGACTATACGATTTACTCGAATTTAAAATTCTATCAAGTACCTTATACTTATTTTTACGAAAATATCGACGAAACAATATTCACACCTTAATAGAAAATAGAAAAAAAACCTTTAAATGGTTTAAGATAAAACCATGCGATTAGTCTTGCTTTGGAAGCTGAAAGATGTTTACAAAACATTTTCATAAAAGCCCAAGACTTGAAGTAAATTATTTAATAAAAAGGCTATTACTAATGCCCTGGAGTTTTTATGAGGTTCAAAGGTTTTATTTATTTCAGGCATAGAAAAGTACCTATTTAAATGGAATAAATTAAAAATATTCCAGATAATTAAAATGTTAGCCTTTTTGATATTTACCATTCTTATGCTAGTCCTTTACCTGAAGCATATAACTAATTGTATGAATACAAAATTACAAATATTGAAACTAGTAATCCGAATAAATCTACGTGGGTTGGAAATGTATAACTTAATCATAGACCTATTCCTTAACTTTTAATTAAAGGAGAAGAAGAGAATATTTTCATGTGGTAGTCCAATTATAAGAATATGAGTCAAGGTGAAATTAGATATGTAAACGTTTGGAATATGTATTTTGATTGATTTTTTTCCAATAAATATTTTTTATTTTATATTTAAAAAATAAACCAATTTTTTTTTATATAAATTAAAAAAAAATATTTAACAAAAATTAATTAAATGGAAGAAAAATAAGATCTAAGATAAAAATAATTTAAATTGAATAAGAAAATCTTTTTCATAATAAAATATAGAATTTTTATTATTATAAGTATAAGAATTAAAAGTAAAATATGAAAATAGTCAATCTTATATTCTATAATATTAAAAAAACACTCCAAATTAATTAGAAGCAAATTACTTTTTTTTATAAATTTTTATAAATAATTTAAACAAATATAGCTAACTAAATAAAATATTAAACCGAAATATAGAAAATAAAAATAAATCATCAAAACTAAATATCAGAAAAAGAATAATAAATAGAAAATTTAACTTCTGAAATTATTTCAAATAAATAAAATAAATGTAATTATTATGAAGACTAAATACAAATATTAAGTCGTTAAGTTTATCATTTAAATTAATAAATAAATACAGAGAAGAAAAAAAATAGTAAATAATAAATAAATATGAATACAAATTTGAAACTATAAGAAAAGAATAAGAAAATGATATAAAAATTTAATTAAACTAAGATTCAATTAAGAAATTAAAATAAATGGAAAAAAAATTATTAATAAAGTAGTATATTAAAAAAATAAATATAAAGATATGAATAATAAATATAAAATATGGGTTTAAATAAAAACTAACTAAAAGAAAATTAAAAGTGCTAATGCAAATTAGTAATAAACAATACTTTTAATCTAATAAATATTTTATATGAAAAATATTATGTATAAATAAAAATAATGATGAAAAAATAAAAATAATAATTACAAGCATAACTATAAAGAAAAATAAAAAATAATTTAAAACATATAAATGGAGAAAACCTAAAATTATAAATAAAAAATCTAAGAAAAAGTAATTTTTTTTATAGAACAAATATACTAATTAACATTATAAAAAAAATGTAATAAATATAAAAATAAATCAATAAAAATGAAATTACAATAATTGATAATGAAGAAAAAATAAAAAAAAAAATTAGAATTAATTCAATATCAAGAATCTGATATCTAATTCACAAATTTAATTGGAGAAGAAATATTAAATTAGTAAATTTAAGATATTTAAAATTCGCTAGAGAACGAAAAAATACATAGATTTATAAATAATTTAAAACGAAAAAAATAATTTTGGTAATGCTTGCAAAGTTTTATAGGAAAAAATTAAAGAAAATGAAAATAAATGTTAGGTGGACTTTAAACTGAATTTAGAAAAAATAACTTTTTTAGAAAAAAACTAAGGAAAATTGAAAAATGAAATACAAAAAAATAAAGAAAAATTTTATAAAAATTTAAAGTATACAATATAAATAAAAAGAGGAAATGGCTTTGAAAAGCACACATATATTGGAAGCCTTTGAAAGACAATATGAGAAAAAATGTTAAGAGTTACAAAATGATTATAAATAAAAAATCTAATTAATATAAAATTAATTATTAATGTATAAAAAAATTTATTGATTTATTATAAAAAAGAAAAAAATATAAAACCAAAATATTAAAAATAAAAAATAAACTGTTTTTTTAGTATTTAATGCAAATATATTTTTTTGTTTAAATAAGTTTTATTTTAATAAATATTTTCTATTTTTCAAACTTTTTTCTCATACATAACGTTTACAAACAGGACATGTATTTTCATTTTAAAGCCAATTTTCTATACAATTTTTATGATAAAAATGATTACAATTAAGTTATTTTATAATCTCTTCATTTTCAAATTCATTTATACATATTGAACACTTCGAATCAATTTTATTTTTTAGATTTTGATTGAATTCTATTTCCTTTATTTATTATATCTATTATTAATTTAACCCTTTACTAACTTTTCCTATTTTTTCTTATAATTCCATCAATTACTTAAAATTAGAATAAAAAAATTATAAAAAAAATTAAAATTTAAATAAAAAAACTTCATATGTCATAGTATCAGGATTTATGCAATTCGGATCATTTTAAACTTCATTTGCAGATTATTAAATTGCCATTTAAAGCATTTATTCTTCTTATTATTATGCTCTTAATTCATAAACAGCTTATAATAAATTAATATCTGAATCTGTTATATTTTTTAATATGGATTTAAAATTATATTAAAAATTACTAGTTTAAACAAAGTTCTTTAAGTCTTGATATTTCTTTTAAAATATTTTTTATCTTAATATAATTTAAAGTTATCTAATTTTAAATTCTTTATTTATTCTTCTTATGTTTTTATTATTTGCTGATTCTAATTATTTTTTTCTTTCATTTCTTAATAGAGAACAGCTAAATGTTCAAATTTTGTAAGCAGTTCTTTATAAATAGAGGAATTTATGATATCTTCTTTCTAAATTTCATATTTATTTAATGGATTTTCATTAAATAAAAATTATTTTGCTGATATTTATTATTTGAAATAATCTTAAGCGTTTATTTATTTAGGTTATTGCTACTAATTTTTTTAATATGTTTCAGCTATTTTTAAAATAAATATTTAATTATTATAAAAAAAATAATAAATAAATATAGTATTATTTTAACTTTTTTTAGATATAATATTTGCGTCGAATATTCTTCTTGTGTTTTAATTTATTTTTTGCATATAGTTTTAATTTATGTTATTGCTGTTTTTCATTTATTAATTGTTAAATAGTTTTTCCTTTTTTAAAAAATAATAATTAAAAATAGTTAAAAATATAAAATAATTATATTTATACATTATTTAAACCAAATACAAAATAGTTTTTCTTTTATTGATAAATATAAAAAACATGATTTCTATTTATAAAATATATATGAATAAGTAAAATATTTAAATTAGTTATTGAAAAATTATAAAAGTTTGGTGTTTTCTACTCTGATATTTTTTTTTTTTTAATAATATTAAATAAAAATAAATAATAATAAATGTAAGTAATAATATTTATCAAAAAATAAAGCATTTTTTAAATTTTTATCATATTTATACATAAATGGAATTATTTATAATTTAAAATATAAAAAAATATTATTATGTTAAATTCACTAATTTTTTCTTGTGGATAAAAAGAAATTATATTAGTTCTTATATTATAAGTTCTTCCATTTAAAATATTTTTATCTCTTTTAGCATTTAATTGATACCTATAAATAAATTAATTAAATATTTCAAAAAAAAGATATTTAAATTTAATAAATACTTTCCCAACCTTAGAAGGACAATTTCTTGCTTTTTAAATGGCATAAAAATTTATATTTTTTCATCTTGTTTATTTTTAAAACTCAAAAAATAAATTTTCATAGATTTTAGATTCCTTATAAATATAATCGTAGACATATTCAAAATTAAAAATAATACGTGATAAATTTAAATATTATTTATTTTAATAATTTTTAATATATATTAAAACAAAATACTATTTTATTAGAAGAAATAGCAATTCTTTATTTTAAATTAAAATTTAATAATATTTATATTTGATAATAAATAGGTATTTATCTAATATTTTTCTTTTTTACTATATAATTAATTTTATTTTTTTATAAATATTTTTATATATATAATATTATTTATTTTAATATTTTTTATTTTATTCTATATTTATTTTAAGAAATTTTAAATATGTTAATTAATAAAAAGAAATAATTTATTTAAAAATAAATAATAAAAAATATATTTTTAAATAAATTAATAAATAATTTTTTTACCTCCCCAGATATAATATAAAAATTTATATTGTGTCTTGAAAAAAATTATTTTTTTTAGTCCATATGATTTGATTTTAATTGTTTTTTATTGTATGACTACATAGGAGAGTTTCCTATTCTACTTAGGAAAAACATACATGTATAAAAAAATTCAATAAAAATAATAAATATAAATATAGTTTTTAATTAAAAAACATTTCTGAAATTTTTACCAATATTTTTGTAAATTTTATATATATAAAAAAAAGAATCCGTAAAAAATGAATGATAAGTTTATACAAAATATACAAAAATAATAATAACAAAGGAACGAAAAAAAAAAATCATTTATCAAACATCGCATAAACTTGCCCTATAGAAATACTTTTATTAATTCTAATAATTTACCCTTGTTTATTATCAATAATACTCATCCAATCTTTACACTCTTATGTCAAAAAATCAATAATCTCAATAACATCTTTTTACTTAATATAAGATTTTAAATACTCAAAACATGATCTACTATATTAGCATAGAAAATATTACTAACTTTTTTTTAAACATAATAAAGTTAAATAATTTCCACAACCTTTTTAATAGTAGGAATTTAATCTAACATCGGATTTTTTTAAACAAAATCCTAAGTAGTTTATTCTCTTTCTTTATTTATCAAAATTTCTTTTGCTTTAATAAGTTTATATATTCTATCACTCAGTCCCGTATTATTATCTGTGGTACATATATTTTTACTTAACTAAATTAATTCTAGTTTTTTCTTTTCTTCATTTTAAGCATCAATAATTCTTTTTTTATTATCTAATAAGCAATATCATTTTCTCTTTTATAATCTTCATCCCCTTGTTTTTCTTCGAACCTTCTCTAAACAGGCAAGCTACCTAATTCAATCTAAGGTAAATTTTCCAATTTAAAATCTTTATGCCATTAAAAACTTTATTCTAAATCTTCTTTTAACTCAATTAGTCCATTATTTTTTAGAAATTCATCATGTAATTATTTAACTTTTTCCAAAATAACATTTTTAAAATGCTAAACCCTTTCCTGTATAGATTTTCCTTTTTCTTCCTAATTCATATCAAAATATAAATCTTAGTTAATTCTCAAAAATTCGTTTTTGCTCCAATTCAATTTATAAGCCTATGGATATAAATATATTATTTATTAAATTTACTAAATCGTTAAATTAGTTCTCATTACCTTCTCCATATTGTTTTTTATGTTTTATAAAAATAAAGGCTTGTTTCTTTATTTGAATAAATCTATGCATTGTTCGATTTTATTAAAAGTATCTATCAATTCTTAATATGAATTTGGTAAAGGAAATTCTTGTTATTCTTTAAGTAAATATTCATATCTTTATTTAAGAGATACAGGATTGTTAAATATTTTTTGGGTATTTACTTCAGCTTCTGTAGGAGTTTAATTGTTATTTTTTTGGAATTTATTTTTTATTTAATCTATTATTTTTTACGTTTCTTCATTAAATTTTGGTTTTTGACTTATTTATGAAATTTTTAAAGTCTATATTTAATTTTAGTATTAAGTTATTTTCTATAAATTTAATTTTGCCTTGTCTTTTTCAGTCAAAAGTTTACTTAATTCTTCCTTTTTTAATGGTTATTTTAAATTTACTTATTCTAATTTCATTGTTTCTTCATCCATTTGTATTTACTTAATATTATTAAATGTATTCGAGTTTTATTCTATTTCAATTTTATTTTTCAAAAAATCCTTATTTATAATAGTATCTTCGAAATCCTATTTTTCGATAACTTTTAACCTTTAACTTGCATTTTTGGTTTAACTTATAATCATTATTTTTATTTTATTTTTGCAATTATCTTGTATTTTTATTTATTTTATTTGCCTCTAAAATTATGTATTTTTAATTAATAAAATGAGCATAAAGCGGGATATTTAAAAAATTAAAAGAAATATATTTTTTTACATTTTAAAAATAATAAATATAATATATTTCATAAATATTGATTTTTGAATTTTAATTTAAAATTACATATATATATATATTTTTTTTCTTTTTTCTGTTTAAAATTCTGTTAATTATGATATTTAAACAATGTTATTTATTTCTATTATTAAATATATATAAAAATAATATGTTTACAAAATAGAATAAATGAATTTAATATCTAAAAAATAAAAATGTTATAATATAAAATTACAAAATAATTTTAATATAATTTATTTATAAGATAATTATAATATACTATATTAATAAATTATTTATTTTTAAATTTAATGAAAATATAATAATTCTTTAAACAATTTAATATTTTATAAACTAAATAAAAACAATAGTGTATGTAATATTTTTAAAGTAAAAAAAATAATTGATTTTCAAAATTCTTATAAATAGTAAAAGTAAAAAAAATATTTAATTAATATAGTATTTAATATATAAAAATTTTAAAAATATATAATTTACTTGTTATTTTTTTTTTATATATATATTTTATCAAAGATGTATAATTACTAACTTATTTTATATTTTATACTAACTTTAATATAAATTTAACAAAATTTATATTGATAGAAAATAAAATATGATTCTATCAATTATTTTTAAAAAAATTAATAAAATAAATTTTTATGATTAAAAATAAATATTACAAGTTCGTATTTTTTTTTAAATAAACAATAATTAATTAAAAAAAATTCAAAAAAAATGGGTAATTACATTTTTTTTGATTGAGTTTTTTAGAAATAAAAAGATGCATAAAAAAATAATATAAAATAGATTATATTTTTTTAATATTTAATTTTAAACATTATTTTCTCAACTAAGTCATTTATATTTTTATATTTAATCTATTCAAAAAATATTATTTTTAAATAAATAAATAAATTTTATATTTTATAAAAATATTTATATATGAATATAGACAAATCAAACAAATTTATAAAATCTTATAATTATTTACTAGTATATTTAATTTAATTTAATTTAATTTAATTTAATTTAATTTAATTTAATTTAATTTAATTTTTTTTTATCATTTAATTACATCATAATAGATATGATTAATCTGTCATTTACCATAATTAAAACAGCAAATATTTTTAATAATTTATGTATTAAGATTTAGGTAGTAAATACAAATTTAAATA